GGTCCCGGGGGCCGGCGGCTCCTGGCGCTGATGAGGAGGGGAGGCCTCCGAGGCGGCTCAGTTACTGAAGCCGCTCTGCCGAGGGCTGGGGACGCCTCCCACTGCCCCCTCCTCCCCTGCCCCCGCATGCAGCCTGGACCAGCACCCCAGAATTGGGGGTCTCCTAAAACTTCGAGGGAAGCTCTGCCCAGCTGTTAACCCCTTCCTTTCTGGGTGCATCTCCCATCAAAACATCATCCCTGGGCTCAGGGTGGCACCAAACCAGTGCTCCGTGCTGGTCACCATGCTGGGCAGAGATGGGGGGACAGGGTTTGTCACTGGGTTCCCTCCAGGGCTGGCGGGTTGAAGTTGACACCAAAGCTGAACTGGCTGTGGTGGCCCCGGGCCAGGAAACGAGCTCCATGCGCGATGCCACATGTCCAGATCTGTGGGGCCAAAGAGGGCAGGTGGATGGGCACCCACGAAGGATGCTGTCCCTCATGCCCCTTCTCGCAGTGCCAGCCCTACCAGGTAGGCGATGAAGACCACGTAGGCGGTCAGCAGCAGGCCCAAGGGAATGTGGTACCGCAAGCCCTGCAGTGTAGGCAGGAAATCCACCACGAAGTAGATGTTGATGGCACAGACCAGCCCTGTGATGAGGGCCATCAGCACCTTCCCCAGGCTGCAGGCAGAGGAGTGAGCATCAGGGCAGAGCCCTCACCCCATGTACCACCGGGCACAGCGGTCTGGGGGATCTGGGGTTGTAGGTGGGCAAGACCCCAACTGGGACATCTCTGTACCCCGCAGTCGTACAACACCCCCACAATGAGGCTCTGGCCTTGGCCATCTCCCAGATGCAGGGCTGGCAGTGCCAGGAGGATGCCAAGGACTTGGGGTAGGGACCAGGCATGGCATTGGGATGAGGATGGAGAGGGCAATGATGAGGTCTGTCCTCCTCTGGCTGCTCTGGGCACATGGGAATCAACATGTGTCACCCCCACCCAATGCCCATACAACAACTGCCACCAAGGCATGGTCTGGGGGGCAGGATGGGCCAAAGAAGGGGTGTGTGCAGTGGCTGTGCCCCGCTCTGTCTCCCCCTGCCCTGGCACTCACAGGCTGTTGGTGAAGTCCTGCATGAGTGGGCGCAGGCTGGTGAAGGTGAGGACGGGCAGGATGGCGAAGGGCAGCTGGAAGAAGAGAGGGGTGAGGGGGGCATGGCCACCGGGCTGGGGAGTTGAGAGGCAGGTGGTGCCCCCCCACCTTACCAGAAGGCTCTGGATTACGTTGAGCAGGTCATTCACGCTGGAGAGGTGGCTGACATCCTTGAAGGCGGCCACGAAGACAGTGGGCAGGATGGCAAAGGAGCGGGTGAAGAGCACCCGGGCAAAGCGAGACCAGCGGAGCTGGAGGAAGCCCTGGGGGGACAGCAAAATCTGTGCCCTTGCCCCTCGCTGTGCCCGGGGCACCTTCCCCCCTTCCCCCCCAACCCTGGCTCAGAGGGACATGGGGGGCATCACCCCTTCTTCTGTGCCAGGGTGCTGAGCAGGGCCCTGCAGAGCTGCTGGGCCCCGCTAGATGTCAGCTCCAGCTCATTAAGAAAATGAGCTCGTTAAGGAAACACTGCTGGGGCACCCATGGGGTGTCTCTGGGAGGGGGTGTCACAGAGGGCGGGGGTGACCATGCAACGGCAATGGGTGGGCACTGTCCCCATCCCACCCCCTAGGTGCCGGGAACCCTGCTGCCACCCGGGTGGGCAATGCCCCATGCCCAGCTCCCTGTGGGCACTAGGGGGGCAATTTAGTCTGCCAAACACCTCTTTGGGGGTGCGCTGCCCATAGGACCCCCCACCCAGGGTCCACTCATGATTCCTCCCCCTCCCAGGCCAGCATCCCAGCCCCTCACCTCCATGACGAACTGCCCCGCGTAGGTCCCGGTCATTGTGGAGCTCTGCCCCGCTGCCAGGATCCCGATGGCCCAGATGTACAGCGCTGCCGCCCCAAAATAGCAGCCCAGGATGACACCCTGTGTGGGGATACTTCCATGGGGACCCCAAAGCACCCTCCTTCAGCTCCCCATCTGCCAGTGGGGTCGTGGCAGCCCCTGGACCCACGGGTCAATGGGAGGGAAGCGCTGTGTATCCCAAATGTGTACGGATGCCTGCCGAGCACAGCCTTGAGCCACTCACCCCCTGGTAGATGTCCACGGAGACGGTCTCGTTGTTGGAGGGGAAGATGCTGGCATAGCAGCTGACGCTGCTGTTGACGCACTTGTTGTGCTGCAAGGCACAGCGGGCACGAGAGTGACAGCCACCCGGGAGCCCCCATGGGACACCCCACATCCCAGGGGACGAGGACACCCACTTTCCAAGGGATGCTTGCCCAGCCCATCTCCACAGCCGGGCACAGCTGTCACCTCCCCGCGGGCACGGGATGACACTCACCACGTCCTCATTTCGCTGGCGGTAGAAAGCCTCGCCAAAGACAGCCATGACAAAGAGGTTGATGAGGAAGGAGATGAAGAGGGCCAGGCAGGACTCAGTCAGGAAATACATGTTGGCCTCCTGCACTGCCTCCTTCTTGGATCGGTCGATTGCCCGTGTCTGGTCACAGTGGGTGATGTGGGTGCCACGGGATCAGGAAGCACCCCCTGTCCTGCAGCCCTCCCAGGGCTGGTCCCCTGAACATGTCCCTTGAAACACCCTGGGGTGGCAGTGCCCACAGCAGTGCCTTGGTCTCACCTTGACCAAGGAGGAGTGGAGGAAGATGTTATGGGGCATAATGATGGCCCCGACGATGCCCACAGCCTGGAGCAGCTCCTCTCGCCCGCAGCCCGGGCAGTAGGGCAGGAAAATGCCCTTCAGCACCTCCACCTGCTTCGGCCTCACCATCACATACTGGGGACCAGTGGGAAGGAGCACCGTGAGCTGGCACCCCTCATGCCATAGCCCAGTGCCATTAGAGACTCCCCGTGGGAGTCCCGTGCCAGTGCCCTAAAGGGAAAGCGGTGTCTCCAGCTCCCCTCTTCACCTCGTAGCCGAAGGTCAGGGCCATGATGGTGATGAGGAAGCCAAAGAAAGCCTCCAGTTTGCGGAGCCCTAGAGAGGTCGAGAGATGGGGTGGGACAGGGTGGGGGACACCAATGCCACATCAGCAGCAGGGCTGCCCAGGCAAGTGTCACCACTGTCCCCCCACCCTGGCACTCACCATACTTGTCAAGGAACAGGAAGAAGAAGGTGTCCACGATGGTGATGAGGACCCCACCCCAGAGGGGCATGCTGCGGGATGGCAAGGGGTGGCATTAGCTGCATGTCCCTTACCAGAGCAGGGCCACTGGGAGGGGGCTGGGGGGGGTCCCAAGGGGGTGGCTCACCGGCCAGCCGAGAGCAGGCTGAAGGCGATGGCTGTCCCAATCACCTCCTGCATGTCAGAGCCGATGATGGCGACCTCAATCATGAGCCAGAGCAGCACACGGGGCACCTGGCAGGGCAGGGCATGGTGAGGTGCCCGAGATTGCAGTGGACACAGCCTCCAGGGAGAAGAGCCCTGTCCCTGTCCCCAGGCTGTGACAGGACACCCAGAGCAGAGTGGGGACCTCAGGAGACCCCCCCAGCCTCTCCCACGATGCAATCTCAGGATGCAGAATTAATCCCAAATCCCAGCCCTTGTCCCCATCCCTGCCCTGAAGGGAGCTGAGGACAGGAACCAGCTGCCTGGGGATGGGGTGCTGGGGCACAGGGATGTACTTGGCCTTCCTTTTGGGGATCTGTCATTCAGCCAACATTACAGCACTCATTTGCTCCCATTGGGTTCCTGTCACCTAGATGGGATCCCCAGCTCCCCCCTCCTTTGCTGTGTAACCCTTCCTAAACCCCCACAGCTCCCTGCACCAGCGTGCCCGGGCTTGCCCGCGTCTTGGTTGCGCGTCGCTGCCCTGACACCTGAGTTGACCCCTCCTGGGAGATGCACTCGTGTGTCCCTAAATCGAAACAGGACACCGAGGCAGCTGCTTCTCCCCTGTATCGCAGGGGTGTGTGGGTGCTAGATGGGGGACACCAGGGCTGGGGGTAGGGTTCTCACGGTATCTTCCTGCTTCTCTCCACCCCCCAGACAGTTGTGGTCCCCCAGTACCTTCCAGGACCACCACCAGCCCAAGCGTGGGGTCCCCTGAGGCTGTGACCCCCGGGGGGCTCCTCACAGCTGCTCACCTTGGGGTAATAGAGGTAGCAAACCTCAGCCAGGTCCTTCCCTGTCACCACGCCCAGGCGGATGGCCAGGCGCTGGCACAGCAGCCCCAGGACGGTGGCCCACAGCAGCACCCACAGCAACTGTGGGGGCAGGAGAGGTTGGGCACTGGACAGGATCCAGCCACCCAGTGCTCCCAGCAAAGTTACCAACCAGCCCCGAGACACAGGGAAGGAGAAGCCCAGAGGGGCTGGACATGGTCCCCAGCTGAGGCAGAGCAGGGGCCCTCCTGCACCCTTGGGTGCCCTCCCCCAGTGCCAGTCCCCCCCCTTCCCTTCCCACTCCCTGGGCTGGGGAAGCTGTCTTGCCGTGGGGCTGGGTGGCCGTTGGCGCGGGAAAAGTTACGAAAACCCTGGCTGCTTCCTGACCCTGGGGCCAAAAGTGGGGCCCGGTGCTCACCTTGAACCCCGCCACTGCCCCACACTGCAGGTCCGACTCCACGTTCCCTGGGTCCAAGTAGGCGATGCTCATGAGGAACCCAGGACCAGTGAAAGCCCAGAGTTTCCTAAAGCTGAAGCCGGGCTGGGACAAGGCAGTAGGTCAGAGCAGGGTGCTCCCATTCAAAACCAGTGTCTCCCAGTTGCACTCGTGGTCCCCTTTAGCCCAGTGCTGGGAAGCCCTGTGCCCGCATGGGCGCGTTTCTCCCGCCTGCTTTGCCTGCTGCCCCTCAGCCCCTTAGCAGCAGTGCCAGGGGGACAGAGACCCCTGTCCCACCTGTGCACCGGTTTTTGCAGGGGAGTCCCAGTGCACCCTGTGGGATCCCACTGCTGAGCCCTGCCTGCTTTTACCACCCCTCCTGGCAGGGGAACTCCCATCCCTTCCCCTTCTCCCTTCACCTACCCCACCGCCCTTGGGGACGCTGATGAGTTCGTCCAGGTAGGTCTGGTCCTGGGAGCCAGGGTGCTGCTGCAGGGGCACAGGGCTCCCACCGGTGCCATAAGTCTGGGCCTGGCCCTGGTTCAGAGACCCGGTGTGGCCTGGGGGGATTGAGGAACAGGAGGAGGGGAGGTGGCAGCCCACCGGGGGATGAGGACACTGGTGAGTTGGCAGCTCTGGTCCTGGCTTCCCCCCAGTCCCACCTGCCCCTGCCTGGTGAGCCCCATGAGGGACAAGCCCTATTTTGTGGGGGGCTGTGAGGGTGGCTCTATGGGGGCTGTTAGAGTCTACCCAAAGGGGTTGGATGCCACCTCCAGCTCAGGTGTTCCTGAAAACCCCTCATCCCAGCGCAATCTTCACCAAGATTGACGAAGTGCATTCCAACAGCCAAGTGCATTCCTGGGCAGGAGGGACAGGAGGGGACCCTGCTCCGTCTCCTGCTGCTGGATAGGCACAAAATGGGGACAAGAGGCTGGTACTGGTCGCAGTTCCACCCCAGCCCACTCACGTCCTGGGAGCATGGGTGTATCACATGTGGGCTTTGGGGAAGAGAGGATAGGGCAGGGTGGGAAGTCAGGACAGACTTAGGGGGAGACAGGGCCCACCAAGGCAGGGAGCAGAGCCAGGGGTCCCAGGGTGGAGGGAAGGGGGTCCAGGGGAGGAAAGGAGGCACAGGGGGACCCAAATGTCATGGGGCTCACGTGGCTCCAGTGATGCTGTGGCTGGCCCTGATCTGGACATGCTGCTGGAGAGCCCCAACCCTGACAACTGGGTGCAGCAGCAACTGCTCAGCTTTTAAAGCACTCCCAGTTGCGTGTGTCCCACCCACTCCCCCGCCCCCGAAGTTGAGGAGAAGGAGGAGAAAGAGAAGGAGGAGAAGGAAGTTGACCTGTGCTGGGGAAGGGGCCCTGCCTGGGGGGACACTGGGTGCTATGAAGGCGCACAGTCTCAGTTCCCCCACCCTGTGCCAGGAGGAGGGGGACCCAGTGCCTCCCTCCCCTTGGCGTGCATGGGCAAACAGTGAGCAGCCACACCAGCGTACCCAGGGGTGTGGGAGTGTGTCTGTGTGTCACCCTCCATCGTATGCTGGGGGTCCTGCTCCTTGGATGGTGGGGGGGACACGGGACAGTGTCCTACAGCATGGGGAGGGGCTGGCTCTGCAGGAGTAGGGGAAAGGCCAGAGGAGTGGGAGCGAGGAAGAAGCCAGTGTGTGTTGCACAAGCGCGTGAGCAGGTGAAAATGTACCCTCAGCTTCTGAGGGAGGTACCCAGCCCGGCAGGATCTGTGATGCAGGGTGTTCACACCACCCCAGGGTGCAGGGAACCTCACCCCAAAGATGGGGTGCTCAGCATTGTGGAAGGTCAGGCTGCACCCACAAAAGCAGGGCACCCCATCCCCAGGACCCTCGTGGCTGTGGAGGTAGGAGGGGATGCATGCCGGGTGCACCCATGCGTGCCTGAGGAGTACCGCAGGGCACCCCTCTGCCACTGGGGAGATGTGGGGTGGTGGTGGGCTCAGGGATGCAACCCTGGCAGGGTATGCCCCAGGCGCATCCTGCCACCATGAGCAAGGGCTAAACCAGTTAAGACAGAGACAGGGTGTCCCCCCCATGCAACTCAACACCCCTTGCCCTCCCTGTGCCTCAGTTTCCCCAAAGCAAACAATCCTGGACAGACAACACTGGCAGCTTTATTCCGTGTCAGCTGGAGGGTGTTGAGGCAGGGGGCTGGGGAGGGGGATGGCAGCCTCAGAGGAGGCAGAGGGAGTCCCAGGGGGCTGCTGATGGGCAAAGGGGGCGAAGAATTGGCCAGCGAAGGAGATGGGATCACTGGGCTGCTGGAGAAGCAAGGTCTGGAGGAAGTCAGTCAGCAGTGCCTGGAGCTCGGGGTGCTGCCGGACATAGGCGGCGTGAGACATTTGCAGCTCCTCCTGCGGCGGGGTGGGCAGGGTGGGCACAGGCACCAATGTCCCCTCCCCAGCCACCATGCCAGGGTGTGGGGGGGCAGGATACCTGGGTCTTTGGGGGGTGCTGGCCGGCCTGATCCCCACTGTGCCCCCCAGAGGGAGACCCCCGCTGGGTAGTGGCACGGCCCCATGTCCCCTTGTTTCCCATCTCACCTTCCTGTCCAGGAACCAGGAGTAGAGCTGGACGTCTTCCTCCCAGTCCAGGGGCTTTTTGGGGAAGCGGGGCTGGGGCTTGACCTCACCTGGCAGCAAAAAGGGGGGGTGCTGGCCGGCCTGATCCCCACTGTGCCCCCCAGAGGGAGACCCCCGCTGGGTAGTGGCACGGCCCCATGTCCCCTTGTTTCCCATCTCACCTTCCTGTCCAGGAACCAGGAGTAGAGCTGGACGTCTTCCTCCCAGTCCAGGGGCTTTTTGGGGAAGCGGGGCTGGGGCTTGACCTCACCTGGCAGCAAAAAGGCAGCAGCAGGCAGGGGCTGCTTATGCTGGAGGGCCCAATACCTGTCTTGCTGAGGACAGACCCGTCCTGCAGAAGCACCATTGTTGGGGAGCCGACCTGCACCTGACGGGCCAAATGCCTGCAGGGGAAAGAGCCAGTGACTCCCCCGTCCTGGGTCCCTGCCAGGCTGGCAGGGCTGGATGTGCCCCTGGTCAGACCCCTGCCCATACCCGCTGGGGAGGAAGCTGCTGTGCCAGACGGTGGAGCCACCCATGGCAGCGTGCACAGCTCGCTCGATCACAAACACCTCGGCCTCCACTGAGCCCGCTGCCTGCTGCTGGATGCCCAAGTTGCGCTGGGGGGGCAAGGCCAGGGGTCACTCCTGTCCTGGACTCATCCCTGCCTCTGGGTGCCATCCCTGTGCCCCCCTCCATGGTGTCATTCATAGTCTGCCCACCCCTACCTCCCACATCCCACCCTGGCACCCCAACTTGACCTAGACCCCCAATCCTGTGAGCTCACGTAGCTGGAGGTGCAGAGGTGGCCCTCGGCATCAATGGTCGGGAAGACGAGGCCAGAGGGCACTGCTCGCTGGCACGCCATCACCCGCAGCAGCAGGAGGCTGGCACCCTCTGGCAGCAGCCCCCGCAGCTCGGCCTGGATGTAGAAGAAGCTCTGGCTCTGTGGCTCTGCCTGCAGAGAGACCCAGCCACCTCGTAGGACAGCCACAGGCCCACCGTCCCTGGGGATGGAGCCTGTGAGCACCTCAGGCCAGCCATGCCCCCACCCGTCATGATGTGCCCCATGTGAGAGAGCCCCCCTCAGCCTCACCTGTCCCTCCTGGAGGGTCTTGGTGACAGTCATCCCATACTGGTGGCTCACCATGTGGGTCCTCCTCTCTACAGGGCGTCCTCTGAACTGCAGGAGGGGGGAGGGTACAGGATGGGCAGCAGAGCCAGGACACCCCCCTCTCTGAGGCTGCACACCCCAGCACCCCTTTCAATCAGGGTACCACACAAGATGCGTTTTGGGGAACTCCCCACTCCTGCTGCCACCCAGAGTAAGGGAAGGGGACCAGGCTGGTGGGACAGAACTGGTGTGGGAGCCAGGGAGGGGACACCAGGCTGCCCACAGTGACCTTGCACAGCACGCAGCCCCCAGGGCAGCAGGGCAGGACATGGGGAAGGGGACACGCCACTGCCACACCGGTCACCTCCAGG